TTTGCCAGTTCTTGATATTTGTAACAGACATCTATTTCATCTGAAGTCCAGTAGTTGCAGCCTGTATCGCTTTGGGGATCTAGAGTACAGAAATATGGCATTCGTAGAGAATGCCCTGAGGCATCGAGTGCTAGAAGATAGGTTAGGGTCAGGTCGGTTTAGTTTTGAAACGGTTTACCAGGGGAAACCCACAGAGGTACTGCAACCAGTTAAACAGACTGCAGCATCTGCCATCGGAGGGCTCCAGGTCCTGGCCCTGTGGAATTGACACAGGTACTGTGACCAGTGAAACAGACTGAGCCATCTGAGGGCTCCAGGGCCGCACTCTCGGTCCTGGCCGTGTGGAATTGGCGCTCTTACCCTTTCTACTGCAGAAAACTTCCTTTGAGTGTTGTTAAGTTCTGCGTTTTAAAGCCACAGGGAAAGTGACTGTGTACTTTTATTAAGGGCACCTGTGCCTTTGCTAATGTCAGTTAAAATGCAAGGGGGCAACCCCACAGGTCCTGCTGCTGGCTTCATTCTTGCGCTCAGAGTGAAGACGCAGGTGAGATGATCAGCTGTGCGACCTAAGCTACGGGTGTAGAGCTGCGAGGGGAAGGCCTAGTCAGTGACGTGTTTGCTTTCGGAGCCATAAGACCTGAGTTTGAGCCTGCATGAAACAGCCGGGTATGGCGGTGTGCGCATCCCTCACTCTGGGGAGAGAAAGAGTAGTGGCTGGATCCCCGCAGCTTGCTGGCCAGCGAGCCCAGCGAGCCCAGCCTGCTTGGTGAGCTCTTGACCAGAGAGACCCTGTCTCAAAACCAAGATGGATAGCATTCCTGAAGAGCACCAAGGTTGTCCTCTGGCCTTCATGTACACACATGTACCTGCACGTGTATCCATATACATCTGTAGACATAGACACACGCCAACAATAGTAAACTGTAGGTGTGTGGTGGTGGTTTGATAAGAATGGCCCCCAGACTCATATATTTAAATGTTTAGTCACCATGGAGTGGCAGTATTTGGAAGGATTATAAGAATTAGGAGGTGTGGCCTTGTTGCAGGAAGTGTTTCACTGGAAGAGGGCCCAGTTTCTCTCACCCTGCTGCCTGTGGGTTAAGATGTCGAACTCTCGGCTCCTCCTCAGCACCATGTCCGCCTGCGGACTGCTTGCTTCCAGCCCTGATGAGAAAGGACTAAACCTCTGAAACTATAAGCCAGCCCCAATTAAATGCTTTCCTTTATAAGAGTTGCCATGGTTGTGGGCTGGAGAGATGGCTCAGGGATTAAGAGCACTGAGTGCTCTTCCAAAGGATCTGGGTTTAATTCCAAGCACCTACATGGTGGCTCACAGCTGTCTGTAACTCCGGCTCTATGACACCTGAGACCCTCACGTAGACATGCATGCAGACAAAACACCAGTGCACATAAAATAAAATTTTAAAAAGGAAGAGTTGCCGTGATCATGGTGTCTCTTATAGCAATAGAAATTCTAAGATAATCTTCCTTTGTTTTTTTGAGCCAAGGTCTCTTTCTATAGCTAGTGTGTTCTCCGTCTGGATTGGCAGGCAGTAGGAAGAGAGAGTGGGCCTTGTGAGCATCTGAAACCTCAGAGCCCACCCCCAGTGACACACTTCCTCCAACAAGGCCACACCTCCTAATATTAGGTGCCACTCTTTATGGGCCTATGAGGACCATATTCATTCAAACTACCTCAAAGACTCTTGACCTTAATGAGAGAAAGCTCCTCAGCAAATGGAGGTCTGTGCGAAGACCTGAGACTACAACATGCTGAGGCCAGTGGAGCGCTCAGCCCAGATACAGCCCATTTAAGACTTGGGGAATGTTGCCGAGAAGAAGGTGGGAAGGTTGTAAGAGCCGGAAGGCAGAGAAGGGCTGCAGAATGGCCATGGCAATAGTACAAATAGAGGGAGCAGTTAACCGTGTTGTCGGGAGCCTGTTCAAAGGAAGCAGGGTACTCAGCATGTGTCTGTGCTTTAGTTAGAAGGCACCTGGAGCCCAGTGAAATGCACCTGGGGAAGGGAGACCAGGGCAGAGACGGCCAGGAGAGCTCTGTAGTAGCCACGTGGCAATGGAGGTGAGAGTGGCTGCCGCGCTTGCTTTAAAAACAAGCAGCAACCCAGACAATCCAGGGTTAGTCTCTTGTATTTTTTAAGGGACAAAGATTTATTTCCTTAGTAGCGTGGAGGTACACACGTATAATCCTAGCCCTCTAGAGGCTGAGACAGAGAGTCATAAGTTCAGGGCCATGTAGTGAAACCCTGTCTCAAAAATAGCAAACCAAGAAGGGAGGAGGTTTCCTTATAACCAGTCACCATGCTAAATTTTAAGTTTAGCTTTCAAAACAAGGCCCACTTGCATGAATGGTGATGGTTTGAAAAAAAATGCCCCCCAAAGGGAGTGGCACTATTAGGAGTGTGGCCTTGTTGGGGAAGTGTGTCACTGTGGAGGCGGGTTTTGAGGTCTCATGTGTGCTCAAGCCACGCCTACTGAGGCAGTCTACTTCCTGTTTCCTGCACATCAACATGTAACAGCTCCTCCAGCACCATGTCTGCCTGCATGTCCTGTCATGATGATAATGGACTAAGTCTCTGAAACTGTAAGCCTCCACCTCAGTGAAATGTTTTCCTTTATAAGAGTTTCTGTGGTCATGGTGTCTCCTCACAGCAATAGAAACCCTAACTAAGACAGTGGACTTAAAGGAAGAAAAATGCGTATGTCCCCAGTGTTTGAGCCGAACACGGGGTCACTCATCCAAAACTCTGACCTAGCCCCCTCACTGGAGAAGTAGAGAACACAGCTTTCCTGTAGGTCGGGAGGGCCCTGTACTGAGCAGCTGGTCACGGGGGACTCTTGGAGTCCTAGGCTTCCAAGTGATTGACTCATGTTAGAAGTCCACAAAGAGCCTGTCCTAAAGGGAATCACCATGATGGGGTTCAGCGCTCACGGAGAGACAACCATAGTGAAAAGGCTGAATGAACAGTGAGTTGCTAGAGAGGCCAGAGGATGCCTGCAGAATGTCTGCCTACGCAGCTAGAAAGCTCAGATTCAGGGAGAAGCTGGACTGGAAGGACCTTCAGAAGCCCCTCCTCCCAGCAAAGCATTCTGATGACCTGACCACAGGTATGGTAGCCTGGTGATGCTGTGGGGGCTGGCAACTTCAGAGACCTCCCTCAGACCCACATGGACCTTTCCCGCATGGAGAGTCTCCGGACAGCTGCGGCTGACAAAGCCCCAGGCTGTGGGTCTTCCTAGGGTGATCTCCTTTCCCAGTTCTCAGTTCCTTTCATTCCTTGATGTCCAGATCTATGACTAGAGGGGTTGTGGACAAGCATTTTAGAGATTATGTTTCCAGGCATCCTAACACTGGGATTTACCAGGTCTGGTTTCTGCTTGCCTGACATGCAGCCTTCACACAGAAGTATCTGTTACAAGAAGTGCTGTTATTTTAGATCTGTTCGGTTAGGATTCGGGACGAGCTACCCTTCGTTTCTCGACTGTTGCGCTTGAACAGACAATTTGCCCGATCAGCTGATGCTCTGCAGTAATGGAACAAGAGATAGGAGTGTTTGCTGAGTCCCCTCTTCTCCTAGCAAGTTCTGGTGTAGTTTAAAGAATAAATCTTGCATATTAATTAAATAATAACAGTAAGGGTTATATGGATTGTACCCTGCTTATCAAAGACTTAGCAGTTAACAACCATATGTAAGCAAATGCATAATCATATTTGTCTTTAGGATCTGGGTTCTTTCAATATGATTTTACCTGTAACTGTCATGATTTTGGTTTAACAGCTGAGTGGTATTCCGTTGTGTGTATGGACCACATTTTCTTTACCCAGCCATCTGTTTGTTGATGGACATCTAGGCTGATTCCAGCTTCTGGCTGGTATGAACAGAGCCGCAGTGAATATGGCTGAGAACGTGTCGGTAGTAGGATGTAGACTCCTTTGGGTGTGTGCCCAAGAGTGGTAAAGCTAGACCTTGAGGTAGATCTATTCCCAACTCCCTAAAGAATTGCCACACTGATTTCCATAGTGGGTGTACAAGTTTACATCCCCACCAATCCACATAACCACGGAGGTTAGGTGTAGAGTGTAGGACTGGTGGAGAAGAAGGTAGGTGGATCTCTGTGAGTTCAAAGCCAACCTGGCCTACAGAGTGAATTCCAGGACAGCCAGGGTTACACAGAGAGACCCCCCTCTCAAAAAAACAAAACAGAAGAGGATAATACCTAAATCATTTAGAGCCATCAAACTATCAGGGTGTCTTAAGAAAGGCCTCTAAATTTTTTTTAAAAAGTGAGATGTTTAAATACTCATGATAAGGAAAGTGGCTGGGTAAAATGAATGCCGGGACAATCGTGGGGTAGAAAGCGGATGTGGAAGCTTTCTAAGCTAGGAAGATGGTCAGTGTGTTACTGGGGCGGGGGAGCAAGGTGCTGAGAGAGTGCGGTGCCTCTGTAAGAGATGTAAGTCTGTATTTGCATGAAACCGAGGATACACAGACAAGTGTGTGAGGGTCAGGAGGTGGAAGGTTTTTATGTTATTTTGAGTTGCCAATCAATTACCTTCTGGAAATAAATTTTTAAATGAAATTTGACATGGAACAAGATCTGATTTTCTTTAGGCCCGGAGTATTTGTGACCTTACCCTTTGTGTTTGAGTCTTGGAATAGGATCATTGCAAGCATGTGTATTTTGATAGAATGACTGTAGAAACAATATATACTAGTTTATCTTCTGACTACTTTGGTAGGAAACATAAGTCTGTACTTAAATTGTAATTTATTTAACTTGTTATAGTTTCTGGATTCTTTTTTCCCTCCCGAGATAATTGGAAACCTTAAAACACGGAGCCTACTGTAGGAATGTTCTGTGGATGGTTTAGTAAATGCAGTTGCACAGTGAACTTGATTTATGATCTTATGTGTGGCTTTGTTATTTGCTGGAGTTGGAGTGTACGGAGAAAATGTTCTGGACTGCTCTTGTCTTTACAGGAGCAGAAAAATCCAAATTCGAAACATCCCGCCTCACCTGCAGTGGGAGGTAAGCCGGGGCACCCAGACACCTCCTTAGTTTAGCTTCCTTTACTTTAGGAATTAGAGGCCATAAGACTCGTCCCCAGAGCCTCTGGGTCCTGTCCTTCCTTTCCAGTGCTGGGGCTCACGACGTCAGTTAGGGGTTGTGTTTGTCCCTCTCTGATGATGGCACTCTGGCCGTTCACAGTCTTCTCCCTCAGTACTGGGCCCCAAGCACCAGCACAACAGCCAGGAGACAGTGTGCAGCTTCTTGTGATGCTCATCACATGATCTGATGGAAGATTTTTGTTGTCTCACATTCTGATTGGCTGAGGCACTGGGAAACCTATAGAAACAGACATTTCTTTGTTAGAGTAGATTTTGTTTGTTTGTCTTTTGTTTTGAGTTAGCTGCTATGAGTAACCATTACAGATACATCTTCAGAGCACATATAAAGACAGGTCTAAGATTGCTGTCTTTATATAAAATGCAGTAGGATGCCAGGAGTGGCCCCACTGTTAAGAACAAACTGCCCTAACCCACAGGAAACCAGACCAGCCTTAAATGAAGCTGTGCTTTATCTTGTCTTTAGAAAAGGAAAGAAGAGAAAGGATGAGGTTGGAGAACTGACTCAGTGCTTAAGCCTGCACTGCCTTTGCTAGGGACCCAAGTTCAATTTCCAGTAGTCATATTGGGTGGCTTATCTATAACCCCAGATCCAATACTTCTGGCCTCTGCAGACACCTGTCACACTCATGTACACACACACACCTGTCACACATACACACGGCTCTCTCTCTCTCTCTCTCTCTCTCTCTCTCTCTCTCTCACACACACACACACACACACACAGAGCCAGGCATAGTGGTGTGTGTGACTTTAATTCCCATGCGTAGGAGGCTGAGGCAGGCAGATCTCTTGAGTTTGAGGCCAGTCTGGTCTACATAGGGATTTCCAGGACAACCAAGTCCTGTCTCAAAAATAAATCTTTAAAAAGAACAAACGTTGTCAAAAGATTTATTTTTTAATGTGTATGTATGTGTGTCTGTGTGCACCACATGTGTTCAGAGCACACGAGATCAGGAGAGGTCGTTTGATCCCCTGGGACTGGAGTTCCAGGTGTTTGTGAGCTGCCATGTGGGTGCTGGGAACGCTCGGATCCTCTGCGAGAGCAGTGCATACTCTTTACTGTCATCTCTCCCTCCTCAAGAACAACTCTTTCACTGTGGAAAATTTGAAGTATTCACAATCTATTACGTGAGTAAATAAGGTGATCCCTAGGGGAGAGCTGAAGGAAGAATTGTTAAACCTCCTGAAGAAAAGTGCGCTGTGTCCTTTGCTCTGCTTTCCATTTCAGCAGCGTAGCTCGGGTCATCGCGCGGGTGTGGCTGTCCAGTTACCAAGACCGCGCAGTTGTGTGGGGCCATCTTACGGTCCAGTTCTGCTGTCCTTGTTTCTCTGCGTGTTTCCCTGCAGGGGGAAATGAATGTCTTTTTTATGATCTTCTGTTTCTTCACAGGTGCTGGATGGCCTGTTGGCCGAGTATGGGACAGTGGAGAATGTGGAACAAGGTAATCAGTGGGAAAGTTGAACACGAGAGTCAGGAAGTCTTGGGTTGGGGTCATCAGGGAGAAGTAGTAAGTCCCAATGCCTTTGCCGTGTGCTTCCTCTGGTGTCTGTACACCTCCTTGTCAGAGGAATCTGTGACTGTCATCTTTATATATCTGTATAATCCAGTCATTCAGGGAATATATTCTTTAAGAGTTTCTCTATATAGCCCTGGTTGACCTGTAAGTCACTTTATAGACCAGACTGACCTCGAAATCACAGAGACCCGCCTGCCTCTGCCTTGGGTGCTGGGATTAGAGGCGTGGCTACCTCGCCTTACCCTTGGGCGTCTTGACACCTACGTAAGCACTGGACAGACACAGTTGGGGTGGAGCACACTTAATTCTTCTGAGAATAGCTGAGTCACTGCTGTGACTTAGCTGACTCGGCCTCACTAGAAGGGAGGACACACCTAGTGTCTGTTTACTGTGAGGTAGGATTTCCCCACCAAGATTCTTACGAAAATGTTAGTTCCTTGGGTTCAGCACAAACTTGCAGAGATTCAAGGTAGAGGGAGTGGCTCGTGGTTGAATGGAGAATCTTGGAGTGGTTTTGTGCGCACTCAGAACTGAGGCCTGCCGTCACAGGAACAGCACTACAAATGCCTCAGGAAATACTTCTTCTCTTCTGCTCCCCATTGCTTATGGCTAATTCCTGAGGTGCTGGTTTTTAAGAGGAACCAAAAAGGCACCTGAAGATGATGTCCTGCATAGCTCCTTACAAGTCCCAGAAAGGTGGATCCCAAGACCCTGACTGCTCCTTACCTGTCAACCCTTGGAACAGTCGTTCAGCCTCACCAACTGAACCACACTGATTCTGTGTCCACTTGTATAAAACAAGCGTAATTTCTACCCTTCCTGTAGCATCGGATGGTCACGTCACTCAGTGGAAACCTGTTGATGTATTTTATAGACAATTGTAAGGGTCCTCATGAAAAGATCGTAGAGCATCCTATTTCTCACAGATGGTCCAGTCTGTCAGTGATTAGCATAATCGTCTTGAAGCTGCAGTTATTAGCTGTGTTCCCCTCCACGATGGTGAAGAAGTTACCCTGTCTCTTACGGCCGCTTGCCCGTGCTCAGAGCTGAAAGCACTCGGAGAGAACATGCTTTCTATGAATTCTGTTTTCACTTCTTTGTCGTTGGAAGGAAGACATTCTAGTGGCAAGATAGCTTTCCAGGTATCAACTTGAAAAAATTTTGGAACAGACTGCTGGTCTGGGTGTGGTGACACACGCCTGAAATCCCAGTTTTGGAGAGATGGAGACAGACACAGCTAAAACTGTGAAATCGATTCAGAATGGTGCTACCTGAGAAGGAGGGGTTCAGGGGCACCGGGGCAACACACAGCCCTCCAGCCCCTGAGCACTGGAGACTGCTCAGCTCAGGCCCTCAAGGCATAGAGCAAGCTATTGAGCTCGTCTTTTGTCCTTTTTCGTGGGTGATTTCGATCCGGCACAGCCTGTCAGTAGAGTCTTAGAAACTTTAATGAACAACGAAATAAGTTATTTAAATGGAGCTCAGCTTACTCTAGAATCAAGGACCACGTGACTTTCCGCAGGCAGACATCTTTGAAGACCAGAGACTTAGTGAAAGTGAGAGTAAATCTAAGGAGCCAGGATTCCTAGATGACTTCTGGGAGTCTGAGTCTAGAAGGCTGCAGATCGGAAACCTCTGACACTGTACTGCCACACTGCTGCCTTGAGCACTGTGAGGGCATCTGTAAGACCGTTAGGCGCAGCCCCCGTGAGCCAGGACAGAGCCAGGGCTGGGATCCGTGTTGATGGTGTGTAGCTCATTGAGCTGATAGTTACTGTACACCTCCTACCTGTCCCCAACACCCCCCACCAAGTCCGAAGCTGCTTTGAAATTACTGGGCAAAATATGTTTTTATCCTAGAGTCTTTAATGTTTGGTTGGGGACACCAGATTCCTTTGAGAATCTCAGAGTCACATTTCTTTACAGTTTAAGATGTCGCAAGTGGGATGGTCCTAGAACTCCTAAGGGTTTTCTTTTTTTTTTTTAAGATTTATTTATTATGTATACAACATTCTGCCTCCGTGTATGCATGCCAGAGGAGGGCGCCAGATCTCATTACAGATGGTTGTGAGCCACCATGTGGTTGCTGGGAATTGAACGCAAAACCTCTGGAAGAGCAGCCAGTGCTCTTAACGTCTGAGCCATCTCTCCAGCCCAGAACTCCTAAGGTTTAAGAATGAGTATTGCTACTTTGAAGGGAGCTTTATTGTGACTTTCTGGAATTATTCTTTTTTTTTTTTTTTTTTTTTTTCGAGACAGGGTTTTGGAATTATTCTTAATGCTGTTAACTTTAAATTCCCCAACGATGTGTTTTGAAGAGAGGGTCTGATTAGTCATTCTTGGTTTTTGGGAAAACGTAAGCAAGCTTTATCAATCAAGCCTTTTGAATGATGTGTGTGTGTGTGTGTATGTGTGTCTGTCTGCATGTCTGTGTCTGTTTAGACATAGGGCTTTGCTGTGTAGCTCAGGCTTACTATCCTGCCTCAGTCTCCCATTTTTACGATGGATGGACGGACGGACAGACACACATTGCATGCCACAGATATATATGGTTGACTTTTCTTATTATGGTGTCTATATATGGAGGATATCTTAACTAGAAGGCTCAAGCCCAGCTATTTTTGGGAGTCAGAGTCCACAGCCTTCTCTTTAACATTCTGTGAGTATTAGGTTAACAATTATAATGAATAATAAATAGGTTTAGAAGTTTGAAAGTAATGAAGCATAGAGAACCATGGTGGTTTTTTTTCCTTTATTTTCTTTATGTCATGTTCTTTCACCCATTTTCCCTCTGTGATTTTAGCCTAAAGAAATATTTCAGAATACAAAGTCAAATGGCCTTGCCATGGAGGTGACTTAGCAGCACTTTAGGTTGACAGTACTGGGGGCAGCACATTCCCAAATGATTAAAGATGAGGCTGTTCATGGCCTCTTTACTCTCCACAACTGTGTGAAAATACATGAATGTGCAGAGATAGTTCACTTCCTTAGAATACTTATAAGTGCAGTGCAGGGCAGTGTGTTACATGAATACCTAATTACAGAGGGTTGCATATGTCTGACTTACAAACGCTATAATGATAATAAACACACATGGGCACAGTTAAGATGCGGTGTTCTGTGCATTTTCCTTTGAAGTTAGCTTTCCATGGGCACAGGGGTGAGAGCTATTTTTAAATGATGATTGTAGTTTTCACTTCTTCCCTAGTCAATACAGATACGGAAACTGCTGTTGTCAACGTCACCTATACAACAAGAGAAGAAGCAAAGATGTAAGTGGGTTGGGGTTCGTTTCTTTGCCGGTTTATTTGGGTTTGTCTTTGGTTTCCTTTGAGTCCTGCTTCTGGAAACCTTTCCTGAGAAGACAGGTACCAACCAGCCAGATCACATCCTCTTTGTACATGCCAGGACAACTCTAGGGTGTCTGTGTCCTCTTGGACATGCCTGTACAACTCCAAGGTATTCTTGCTACTTTTGGCATGTTCATGCAACGCCGGGAGTTCGTGTCGGGCTGTTGTGTGATTGTACAGCATCTCTTTCTTGAACAGTGTTGAACTTGGCACCAGCAGAAAGACAGGAACCGCATGAGGAAGAGAAGGACACCAGCACTATGATGCTGCACCCATAGGCTCACTTTGACAAGCTTCAGGGGGCCTCTTTTACCTGGAGCGTACTCCATTCTCCACAAGGAATGTGCACAGCCTGCTAGCCACACTCACTGAATGCAGACTAAAACAATAGTGTTTTATTTTTTTTCCTGTGTATAATATTTTCAGAAGAATTCACCTCCTTGGCAGCAGCAGGCTTGGCTACCTGGGAATATTCCACCCTGGCTTGGACCCCTACTCTTACTCCGTTCATTACTCTGTTACTTCAGTAATGATTAGAGTTTATTTTTAACAGACATGGGATTACGTTTTTTTAAGAATAGCAAAAAAAAAAAAAAAACCCCAAGTTTCTTTTTAATTTTTTGGGCTGTTTTGAGGTGGGGAATTAATACCCTTGTACCACCGTTCATAGCTAAGACGTTTCTTTCGCAGGAGGCCCTTGAAGTGGCTCCTAGGCCAGAGTAACTTAGAAGTGTACCAGGCGGGCATACTTCGTGGCTGTGTATGTCCATTCCCAAGGGAGGGAATAACCGTGGTGCTGGTACAGTTTTCAGCACACGTGAAGATGTAGTGAACCCGTTTTCATACCAGCAGGCTCAGGCTATGCCACCGCTGGCCATCATAGCCATAGCCCAGTGCCACTTGGGTAGGATCTGCACGTTATTCGCTTGCCTTCATTGAATTAAGTTTTCTGTTTTGTAATGAATTCACAAACCCTCAGTGTTACTCGAGTAGGATTGCTGCAGAAACATGTAAGGGCGTTGTTCTGTTTCATGTAAAATTTTTAAAATACAGAAGTAAGTTTTGTTGTTCATAATAGTTATTTTTAGATAATCTGTAGCCTTGAGGATTGGGGGCATAAATACACCCTAACTGCTGTAGAATAGTAGATACTGAAACGTTACCAGACAGACCCTGGGCTATCTAATCTCTAGGAGTTGCCCTAGAGAAGAAGCTATACCTTCAGAGATGCCCATGACAACATGTGGTCTTCAAGAGACTGGGCATAGTTCACAAACTTAAATGGAAGGCTGGCCCTAGCAAAGGTTACAGTAACCCCGGAAAAGGGCTGACCTCACTTTACAGTTGTGTCAAGTGGAGTGGGCAATGAGTTATAGAAAATATTTGATAGTGGAAAATATTTAGAGTGTTAACTGATTTTTAAGGATTAGAAATAATATATTTATTTTTGGTACATTTTAATAAATAGTATATAATAAAGACAAGGAAACTATTGTTTTCCTAATTTGTTCTTATGTATTTTTGAATTTCTCAAATATATTTGAATTTTGTGATATGATTAAAATAATCATGAAGATGTCTTGTGGTTAAAAAGAAAGTAATGGTTTTGGAGCCACACCTACAGTTGTTGGTAAAGAGGGTTTAGTCTGCGGAGGGATGGGAGGAACGCAAACAGCAGAATTGTGTCTTAGCCACCTAGATCTAGATGCTGAGAGAGAACTTATTTAATCGTTGAGACTCCAGGCCCAAGACGGGCTATGTCTTGCTCACCCCTGTATCCTTGGTGCTTGGCACAGGTGCCCCATAAATGGCTAGTGAGCAAGGTGAGTCAGTGCACCCTCCCGCCTTCTAGAGTTTTGCCACACTCTCGGATAAGCTTGCTGTGTTCTGTTGTGTTACAGAGCAATTGAGAAGCTAAGTGGGCATCAGTTTGAGAACTACTCCTTCAAGATTTCCTACATCCCCGATGAAGAGGTGAACTCCTCCTCACCCCCTCAGCGAGTCCAGCATGGGGACCACTCTTCCCGGGAGCAAGGCCACAGCCCCAGGAACTCTTCTCAGGCCAGACAGATTGATTTCCCGCTGCGGATCCTGGTCCCCACCCAGTTCGTTGGTGCCATCATCGGAAAGGAGGGCTTGACCATAAAGAACATCACCAAACAGACCCAGTCCCGGTACGTGCCTCCAGTGCTCCCTCCGCTTCCTTCTGAGGGGTCACCTGCATCCCGACTCCCCCATCCTCAGGTCACTTGGTGCTGTAGCGGGAGGCTGTGTAGTAGGGACCAGTGCTTCTTTCCCTAGGCTGTGACTAGACTCACCTCAAGGGGACTGTCTGAGTGTTCATGCTAAGATGTACGTCATTCTCTGAAAGGCTAAGTCCATGAAGAGAACACTTAACGGACCTCCAGGAAGGATGATCCCTTGTGCTAGTGTTCCATGAGCATGCCTAGTTCCACAGCAGCTGAGAGGGGCTCTGGTTATAGGATGCTCTGGTCCGGGCTCTCACCCTCTGCTGGGTCAGCCTTGCAGTGGGGTAGCCGTGCTTTAGACTGTCTAGGTTGTCGCCTATAGAAGCTGCGGGTCACTGCTGTACCAAACAAGAAAGTATGGGGCTTTGTCTGATTTTCTGTTTGAAGAGACTGGACTGGAGGTGGCAGTCAGTGGGCAAAGTCATTTGTACAATTGTTGATTTTTATGTGTCCGTAAGACCACAGCACACTGTCATGAAGATACAAGACTTGAAAACAGTGACTTGTGTTCAAGTTTTGATAAAATGTCTCACCTCCTTGAGTTTCGGTTGCTTCTGTGAAAAAGGAAGCCACGGTGTTTTACCAGGATCGCTGTGAGGATGCAAACACTCGGGCAGAGCAAATGAACTTGAATTTGCAGAGCCCCGAATTGCCAGCTAGTACTCATCCCTGAGCTGGTGTGTCTTACTCCAGTCAGTGAGCGCTCTGTAAGCTGAAAGGGAAGTCGCTCCAGTGTCTGAGGAAGCCCCAGCTGTAGACGCTGATGGGCAAGGGGAATACTGAGATCAGACTGGAAGTTGTTGGCTGTGGTTCCTAAAAAAAACCCGGCCTTTCCTTTCCCAAGTAATTCTTAGTTATCTCTGTTCTGCTTCCAAAAACTGCGCAAGGTGGCTTAAGTTTCAGGGAAGTGAAATTAGTTCTTAAAGTTTGTGCCCAGTTGGAGAAGGAGACTGACGACTGGGCCCTTTCTAACAGCCGAGGGAAAGGGGCTGCGATCAGTTGTGTGATTTCTTAAAGTGAATGAAGCCAACAGGCCCCAAAGGAGCCTGACAGACTGTTAGACCAATAGTTTTAGGAGTCTGGAAGGAAGGTAGACTGCTAGTAGAAAGGGAACCAAAACCTCAGGAAGGCAGAGAGGCACGCCTCTGCCCCTCTGTCCCTCTGTGGATGCTCAGATACATAAAGCTTGCTTGAATTTGGTGCTGGAATTTGGATTCATATAAGGCTTTTAAAAGCTGTGCTCAGTGCAGAGGTCAGAACTGGTCCAGTGTGCTACTCCTTCTCACCTTACCCTTCACTTCGACGGACATTTGAAAGGCCACACAAAATACTTCACTAACCAAGCAGACTTTATTAACAAGTTGGCTGGGTGCCTTGATCCTCAGCACTCCTGTCAGAATGGCCCACTTCTGACCAGAGCGGCAAAGAATTTACGTCTGGCACGAGCCCCTTTGCACACTGACCTGCTTGGATCGCAGCATCATTTCCTCTGTCCTCGCTGTGTTGGCTGGGCTGTGTTTGTTGTGTCTGAGGCCCTATCGGATCTGTGCTATGGCTCCTGATTCTTTTCCTATAGGGTAGACATCCACAGAAAGGAGAACTCTGGAGCCGCAGAGAAGCCTGTCACCATCCATGCCACCCCAGAAGGGACGTCTGAAGCATGCCGCATGATCCTTGAGATTATGCAGAAAGAGGCTGATGAGACCAAACTGTAAGTTTGTACAATGCCCAGACCACTCAGTGCTGTAAGATGAAGAAAGCTCCATGAGAACACAGTACACAGAGTCAATTGTCCAGGACTCATGGTGGCTCGCAGAAATCAGGGAGCCTGTGGGGTCTGACCTAGGTCCTCTGCACATACATTATAGCTGAGCAGCTTGGTGTTCTTTGTAACAGTGAGAGCCGGCCGGGATGGTCCCTGACCCTTTTACTCCTCCTGGATGGCTTCGTCCAGCCTTGATGTGACAGTGTGTGCCTGGTCTTGTAGTAGCAAATTATGCTGTGTTTGGTTGTTGTTCCTGGGAGGTCTGCTCTTTCTGAGGGAAGATAAAAAGAGGGTGGATCTGGGGGAGAGGGGAGGTGGAGGATCAGGATGTAATATATGAAAGAAGAATTTTTTAAAAAAGAAATATGTTAAAAAGCTCTAAGTGTGTTAATAAAGGTGGGGGGATCATGTTTTTATTACTCAGGGTTCTCTAGAGAAACAGAATTGATGAATAAATTTATACATATGCATATATATTCACATTCATGAATATACTGTAGACATGTAAGTATGTGACATAATGTCAGTATATGCTGTATATTGCATATACAATGTGTGAAATATATATGTATATTTGTATATGAATATATTCTGTATATATGTATAGATTCACATATGTGTATGTGTGTATATTATATATAAAGGGGGAGGGAGGGAGGGAATTTACTAGAGTGGCTTACAGGCTGTGGTCTGTGTGGTCTAGCTAGTCCAACAATGTCTGTCTACCAATAAGAAATCCAAGAGTCCAGCAGTTGAGTCCATGAGGCTGCATGACTCAGATGGTCTTCAGTATATGGACTCCCAGAGAAGTACACCCTAATGCCAGTGAAGGAATGGACTTGCCAGTGAGAGCATGGACACGCAGGCAAAAAGCAGAGGCTTCCTTCTTCCAAGTCCTTTATATAGGCAGCCAGCAGAAGTTGTGGCCCCAATTAAAGGTGGATCTTCCCACTTCGTATAATTAAGAAAAATAGCTGGGTGGTGGTGATACACACCTTTGATCTCAATGATCAGGAGGCAGAGGCAGGCAGATCTCTGAGTCTGAGGCCAGCCTGGGCTACAGAGTTCCAGGACAGCCAGTGCTACACAGGGAAACCCTGTCTCGAAAAAAGAAAAAATCCCTCACAAGTGTACCCAGCAGCTTAGGTTTTCCTTAAATTTATCTGTAGTTTTAAAAAGATCGTCGGTCTTCCAAATCTGTCTGTGGGCAGTGGTGGAGCTGTGTAGAGGAGCAGGGCGTGGGCTGAGTAGTAAACTCATTTGGCCAATAATAGCAGGTGTGATGTGCAAAACTAAGACTAGAATGTTCTAAAAAGAGCAACATTGCCAATCTGTTAGCACATCACAGACAGGGCTTAGCCCCTTGCCTAATGGTTATCAAGCACTTGCTTTACTTGGGACTTTTGGAAGTCCCCCAGATGTCATGGCTCGATTTGAGGGAATCCTTCTTTGATTTAAATTACTGAAGCTTTTACAAGTGACAGTCTCCTCAGTTCTTTTGATTAGTTGTGTGCAGCTTAGGAGATGGCCACAAGGTGGATGTGTGAAGGGGGCTTTAAGATGTCCTATAGAGCCCAGATAGAGTTCGCATGTCCGAAGTGAGTTTTTCTGAGCAGCTGTCCCATGCATGCCTGAGCTGCGTGTTGAAGCTACAGCTGTGGGCAGGAGTAAACACAGCAGGGAGAAATCAGCCTGCTGACTGCTCATGAGGGCACTCACCCAACATTCAGGGACACAGGGAGTGACTGGAGGGCCCAGGGGGCGAGTAAAAGGCAAGGGACACATGATAAGACCCTAAAACTTCCTTTCCATTTGCCCAGCGTGTATCATGTACCATGTGCTGGACGTTGCTGTGTGCACTGGGGACCCAGCAGGGGCTACAGGCTCCTCCGCCCTCTGAGGGTGTGCGTCCTAGGGCAGCCTCTTTAGCCAGGTTGCTTATTTGAGTGCCTTGCAGTGCTAATTGCCTTGAGGTAATGTGTCCCTCAGACACTTCCATTTTGAAGGAGTAGAAAATACAAAGTAGTAAGAAACATATCGTCACATAACATGAAGTGCTAAAATTAGAAAAGTTCTTATGTCACTGAAACCTTGGGCTCAGAGATCTGGGACATTTTTCTGCTTTGCTTTCCTTACAATAACTCAGACCTTGTATCACCACAGAAGGTATCCCAAACTTGAGAGGAAGGCCGTCACTTCCTTTTTAAATGTTTTGAAGAATTGTGTTAAAATACACCTAACAATATATTCATTCACACTCTTACAAAAGAAACAGCTCTGGCTGCCTGTTCTTGCCTCCCTGTCCACCTACTCTTCTTACCAACTGGGTTACTTTAGACCAGTAGTTCTCAACCTGTAGGTCGTGACCTCTTGGGGGTCGAGCAACCCTTTCAGAGGAGTCACGTGCCAGGTATCCTGCGTATCAGATATATCAGATAGCAATAGAAAATTAGTTATGAAGTAGTAACAGAACTAATCTTGTACTTGGGGTCACCACAGCATGAGGAACTGTATTAAAGGGCTGCAGTGTTAGGAAGGCTGAGAACCACTGCTTTAGAAATTTGACATGAATGGGTCATGTGGCTCTGTGTTCCTGTGGCTGGTTTAGCTCAGTCCCCCAGTTCCTCCAGGTTTAGCACATAAAGTGCCCATCCCTCTGGATTATACTGCTACGCCTTGGCTGTTTCTCAGTGATACTGCTGTGAATGTCAAATCACAAATGATCATGATTTTTATTTCTTTTTTTATATATGCCCAGAAGTGAGATTGCTGGATTTTATGGGATTCTATTTTTGTTAATGTAGCTCCCCCTGGCCAGGCCACCCTTTGGACTCACTCTGCCATCTGGCTACTAGTGAGTAGAAAGTGGAAGTAGAGTTAGCCTGTGGCTCGTTTGAGTCGGGATTTGTAAGCTGAGAAGTTGGTTTCCATTCATAAAAAGTGCAGGATGGCTCAGGAGAAGACAGAGTGTCTGTCCTAAGTGTTGAATGTGCTTTGTCTTCTAGAGCTGAGGAGGTTCCTCTGAAAATCTTGGCCCACAATGGCTTGGTTGGAAGACTTATTGGCAAAGAAGGCAGAAATCTGAAGAAAATTGAGCATGAGACAGGGACCAAGATAACCATCTCATCGTAAGTTACCCCTCAGACTTATTTGCGGGAGCAACTGACTGAGCCTTCCTGTCCTCTGCTTTTGTCCAGAGGGGAGATGCTCAGCCATGCCATAGTCTCTCTGAGCAGCCATGGAAACTGACCCACGGGTGGGCTCTACAGTCCCCAGAGTGCTCACCAGCACCAGGGAGACTCTGGGCCCACCCCAACACCATGAAAATCTTAAAATAAAAAATATCGTCTATTCTGTGGCACAAGCCTGTAATCCAGGCTCTCAGGAGAAGAGGCAGATGCACAGAGAAGTCAAGGAGAGCCTTAGTGAGACCTTTCTCAAAATACAAAGTAAGACGGGGGGCTGGGGATATAGCTCAAAGGCAGAAGACTTTCCTAGCACGTGTAAGGCTGAGGTTCAGTCCGTAGTCTGTGCCCATAGATTGTATATAATGAAAGTCACTAGTAAGACTTGAGATTAGATAGCAGGATTCTATGCTGTAGTGTTAGGAGAAATCAAGTCTTTACTGAGATGTGCCTGTGGTCTGGAGTTTTATTCTTCCTGTCTTTTCCCCGTTGGCCAGCTTACAGGATTTGAGCATATATAACCCCGAGAGAACCATCACGGTGAAGGGTACCATTGACGCTTGTGCCAATGCTGAGATAGAGATCATGAAGAAACTGCGCGAGGCCTTTGAAAACGACATGCTGGCCGTTAATGTAAGCATCCAGTTCTTCCCTTTCTGCTGGTTTCCCCACAGCTAAGCCAGGACCCAGGTTCTGCAAGGATAGCTGTCCTTCAGCTGAGGAGCTTAGGGAAGAGGGAAGAGGGAAGGGCTTCCTGTCGGTAAACTGGGGGAAACACGGATTAGTGTGAGCCGCTAAAATCATACCTTCCAGACCATAAAGTGGGGTGATGTTCATGATCACATGTGTTAGAAAAGGGAGATGTCAAAGCTGGGTTACACATAGGTGTGCAAAGTAGTGTGGGCCAACAGGGCTGGATGCTGCCTACCAGAGGAAAAGTTAGAGAGCCAGGAAAGTGGGTTCCCCTGTTTTCTTTTCTTTTCTTTTCTTTTCTTTTCTTTTTTCAAGAGGGACTTAAGAATTTTCATTTTTATTCAAGAAGGTGTTCACATTGCTAGTCCACAGACTAGATTTTGATAATGTTCCTATATTCTTAGCTGAAAGGAGAAAATGCTTTTTGAATAATGGAAGGAAAGGTACCAAACTAATTAGGATCCCCATGCTATGTTCCAGGCTCAGAATTATATCCTTATCTCCCCTGATCCTACCAACAATCCTGTGGGAACATGTTGCTTCCCTCCAACTCATAGATGAAACAAGAGAGGCTCACACACTGTACATTACAAGTAAAAAGAGATCGAGAGTCAAACAGTATTCATGGCTCCTCAGTCCTTATCTTTCACCCTCTACCCCAAAGGAACGACAATCAGGGGCAGGGAAGATGGCTCAGTCAGTGGTTCCCCTGTTTTCTAAACTTTGTATAATATTATTGTGGCTTCTCTCTCTTTAAAATTTCAAGTATATACTTTAGCCAGGTCTGGTGACCACACACCTTTAATCTCAGAACTGGAGAGACAGAGAGATAGGTGGATGTCTGTGAGTTCGAGGTCAGCCTGGTCTACATAATGGGTTCCAGGCCAGCTGGGGCTGCATAGTGTGAACCTGTTTCCAATATATATATGTAAATAAATTGACTGGGCTGGAGGTTTGCCTCTGTGGTAATACGTGTGTAGCATATGTAAGGCCTAGAGTTAATTATTCAGGGTCAGAACAAATGGCATCATGGGGTATAGAGACCTTGTCTGTATAGGCTGCTTGGGGGCAGATCTGTCTGAAGCAAGCCTGAGGGAGGAAGGGAATGGCCTAACTTCTCATTGGCATCTCTCGCTTGCTGGTGGACGCTCCTAGTTCTCCTAGTAAATGCTGTCACCCACTTGAGTGCTCTCTGGCACTTGAAGAAGACCGCACATTCTTCCTGTTTCTTATCTCTCACTTTATAATTGTTGAAATTATTTCTCTGTCAGCAAAGACTCAATCATCTCAGAAGAGTAAAGTCTTTCCTTTTTCACTGTAATTTTCTGAGAGCGGAAAGGGTCCTTTGATCAGCCGTCATAGGCCACAACCCAGCCTCCACGGTTATCAACCTCATTGACCTCTTGGCTTCATTTGACCCTTTCTCTACTTCCCATCCCACCAACGAACATTTCACAAAGGAATAAACAGCGACAAAGCCGTCTGTACTGCAGCCCCACCTCCCCACAGCAACGCTGCACCGTTCTTTCTCTTGTGGGCATCCCAGCCCCACCTCTCCAGCCTCCCTCTCCAGCCCCCTCTCCAGCCTCCCTCTCCAGCCCCCCCTCCAGCCCCCCTCTCCACCCCACCTCTCCAGCCCCCCTCCAGCCCCCTCTCCAGCCCCACCTCTCCAGCCCCCCTCTCCAGCCCCCCCTCCAGCCCCCACCTCTCCAGCCCCCCCCCATCACCACAGTGACTGGGGCAGGATGGAGAGCACCCCATGTGGACGCCTTTGTGGCAGTCATCTGGCCGTCTCTTTCTTTGCTTGCGGACTCTCGATCTCTTTGCTAAGCATCTCTTCCCGTGAACACCTGGCTAGACTCAGAAGAGGTATGGGTGTCCTGCGCATCGCTATCCAGAGCGGGTCACTTAGGTACCTGCGTCAGATCCATGCTGTGTGAGACAAACACCAGGGCTTAACAGGCAGCGTGGGGACCCAGGTGTGCTGTTCTGCGTTCTTATGAAAAGGATCATTTTCCAGGGTGACTTTACTCACAGAGAAACTGCCTCATGTTTAGGAAGCTAAGGAATGGGGCAGGCTGGGCACAGGCCAGCGTAGGGCCAGCATCTCTCCACCTCCAACCCTGATGAGCATCCTAGATATGTGAAACAAGCAGTGAGCTCTTGACGTAGCTGACCTGTCCTTGGGAACTAGAAAAGACTGGTGTTTGCTCTCGTTGAACAAATATTGTGTACTAGTGTGTCAGGTACTGCCTACAGCTCTAAATACATGACCATTGATCCAAAGAAGTGAGGCAGGAGCGAGGCACTGAGCCCTTGATTCTGTCGTGTGTCTTTGAGGAAATAGGAGTGTGAGGAGAGCCTAGAAAGGCCATGTCAACTGGGAGGGATGGGGGACACCTGGGCAGGGGAACAAGGAGCAGGGGTCCAGAGGTGAAAGGGCACAGGGTATTCAGGGAGCAGGATCTGCTGGGGTAGGAAGCAGCTAATGAAGGCGTCGTTGGCCACAGTCAGATATGTAGATATACCCAGGGGTAGCAGGGAACCTTGGGAGGAAGGTCGCAGTTAGATTGACAGGTTGGGATCTGTTGTCTACACCCAGTCCAAGGTGAAGAAGTCCAGGTACCTAGGGGAGCTGCCCGGGAAGCAGGAGTGCTACGCAGACAGGAAGTGAACCTGACCGCTGCAAGCCTGGCCCTTCCGGCCTTCTCTCCCTCATCTTTTTTCTTCATTTCTGTTCCCAGCAACAAGCCAATCTAATCCCAGGGTTGAACCTCAGTGCACTTGGCATCTTTTCAACAGGACTGTCCGTGCTCCCTCCACCAGCAGGGCCCCGTGGAGGTCCCCCCAGTGTCCCCTACCACCCGTTCGCTGTAAGTAGCTCAGTGTCTTGAGGGTCACTCATGTGGGGCGCCTCCAGGCAGTGTTGAGTGAAGGTAAAAGCTTTTATTTGCAGTCCTGTCTTCATGGTGGGAAGTGACACTGGCCCTGGCTCTGAGTGTGCGCACTCAAGCGTGGTAAGTGCCGTGCTGCAGAGAAAAGGAACTGCTCGCCAATTCGCTAAGTGGAGGTCCTTTTAAAGGGGTGAAAAAAAAGGGTTACTTATTTATTATGTATACGGTGTTCTGCCTACATGCCAGAAGAGAACCCCAACTCATTACAGATGGTTGTGAGCCACCATGTGGTTGGTGGGAACTGAACTCAGGTCCTCTGAGAGAACAATCAGTGCTCTTAACCTCTGAGACATCTTTCTAGCCTCCCAAGGTCCCTTTGATAAAAATAAAAGTTGTTGGTCTGGCAGTGATGGAGCACACCTTTAATCCTAGCACTTCGAGATTGGGGCAATTCAAGGTCAGCCTAGTCTACAGAGCAAGTCCTGGAAAACCAGACGGGGCTCTACAGAGAAAACCTGTCCCAAAAGAGCAAAACACAAACAGAAAAAAGTCATTATTTCAAACAGTAATCATGAGTACTTGTTATTTAATCTAAATGTTAAGGTACCTGGATTATTCTTGAATGCATACACATTCCCACCTTTATTGAAAGGAAGTTTTAAAAAGAAAATGCTAGCGTGTTCGCTTCTAAACCACACGCCCTCTGATATGTAGCAGGCTCTCAGTAAGTATCATTTGACTCGTAATTCTCAGCGAAAGAAACGTGAATGGTTTGTTTCCTGCTTGTTGCCCTCACTCAGAGCCGTTGTTCAAGATTAGTGTGTTACCAGATGGAGGCTGAAGACACCCACCACGCCACGGCTGCCTTCCCCCATTTTTTCTTCTCCAAGCACTTGTTTGTGTGTAAACTGTTTCAGTGGGGGAGAATCAGATGGGCAAGGGAACTCTGTTCTGCTCCCTGGTGTAGGCATGGCTAGTGGCTCCTGGGTGCCCCCTGTGTTCACACCCTCAAAACAGGCAAGGACTGGCACCATGCCCACAGGCCCAGCACATCCTGAATGACCTGCAGGAGCTTCCTGGGTGTTTGGGAGCCCTGTAGCTCTTTGGTTCTGTCCAATTTCCTCTAAACTAAAGGAACTGCACGTGTGTCTGTGATGGAGGGGTCGTGGCGGAAGCACGCGGGATGGATGTGTTCACGTTCTTTATCTTTGCTGGGAGATGTGATAACCAACTGTTAAAAGACACTTAAGACATCTCACTTCTGCAAAGGAGCTCTGTAGCATCGGTCTGAAAGTTAAAGCCCTTGATAGCTGAAATTACAGTAGAAAATGAATATACAGCTTTCTCTTAGACCAAATTTGTGCAGGCCTTTTCAGCATAGAGGAATGTTTTCTTAGTCTATGAATGGCGATGCCTGCCTGTAGTCCTAGCCCTTGGGAGGCTGGGGGGTCGGACGGACTCCAGACGTTCCAGGCAGCCTGGTCTCTACATAGTGAGACCCTGTCTCAAAATGAAATAGATAAGTCAATACGAACTAAACATGGGATGTTTTCTTTTGGGCTTTTGGCCTTTCATGTCTTGCTAAGGAAAAGCCCCTTCATTCAAGATTGTAAACAGTGTTTTCCTTATACTAATTTTCAGTCTGTTGGTTTTTCTGGGGGATGTTTATATTGTATTTTACAGGGGATTGATTTTGATCTAACTTTATTATTTTTCCAAGGGAATAGCCAGTTTCCCAAAGGAAGTTATTAATATGTTGTTTTATCGTCAGCTTGAAATCCAGCTCTCTACTTCGTTTTGCTTTTGATTCTTTGTGACAGGGTCTCCTATAGCCCAGGCTGGCCTCCCGCTAACTCTGTGATTTAGGGTGGCTTTGAGCCGCTGATCCTCCTGCCCCCTCCAGCTGTCCCTCAGCCTACCTCATCGTCTTTCTGCACTTGGTCCCCTTTCCACTGAACTCTGTGTCTGTGTAGAACTAGCGTTTTATGACATCTGGCAGTTTCAACAGAAAGCTTGCTTTTGTTTTTGTGTTTTTTCGCAAAGAATGAGTTGGAAAGATGGCAGCTTTTATTGTTTGACAAAATGGAAAAATATACTGGTTTTTTTTTTTTCTTTAGACATGATAAGTCCTACTCATAAAACCTCTTGACCTGGCAACTTTGTTCGGAAAAAGATAACTTTTCCCCATTTCTTTAGAAAGTTTCTGACTTGGCTTTGTTAGTTTGTAGCTGTCTATCAAAGTGTCCATTTCAGCTGTTGTGCTGAACCTGAGTAGAGGATGTTTGCCTCTCACGTGCAGGGCTGTGGGTTTGCCCTTCAGCGCAAGGGGGAAATCCACTTCATCTCTGTTTTAGATACAGCACCTTAAAGTGGTGCAGAACAGATTGCTTCGTTTTTTAAATGGCCAATCTTGTGGTCTTTTGTCTCTTTTGTTTCCTAATATTATATGTTTGTATTCTTAGTTTTTTTTTTGTTTTTTTTTTTTTGTTTTTTTTTATGTTTTTCATGACAGGGTTTCTCTTTGTAGCCTTGGCTGTCCTGGAACTGACTTTGTAAACCAGGCTAGCCTTGAACTCTCAGAGATCTGTTTCCCGAGTGCTGGGATTAAAGGCATGCACCACCACCTCTGGACTCTTTCTTAATATGTTAATAAGATTTGCAGAGTTTCCCTTTTCCATTATTTATTTATTTATTTACTGGCGACATTTCTCTGTAGTGCAGGCTGGCCTCAACTCTGTGCTTCTGCTTTGCTACCTGACCTCAGTGCCCTGATGACAGGCACGTGACAGCACACCTAGTTTATACGGTGCTGGGGAGGTACCCAGGCTTTGACAGGAGATAAGTGATGCACGATTAATAAAAACCCAGAGAGAGAGAAACGGGGGTTCAACCTAAAGATCAGAACAGCAAAACAACCATCCACTGGCTCTTACACAGTCTCAGTCAGAAATGGAGATCCTGCCTCCAAAAATCTCAGAATGAGACTGTGTCTGAGAGCTGTCTCCTCCCGTTTTATAATCCTCTCTAGGACTGGGATTAAAGGCATGCACCGTTTCTATGGTAACTAATGTGGCTCCTGGGTTTAAAGGTATGTGTTACCACTGCCTGGTCTATAAGGCTGACCAGTGGGGCTGTTTTATTCTCTGATCTTCAGGCAAGCTTTATTTATTAAAATTCAAATGAAATGCCACTACAGATAAGGGATTCCATTTGTTATTGCGCTGTCTCCTGCGTTCTGGGAGCTCTCTTTCTGAACTTGTTCACCCGGCCTGTTGATTAGCCTTGCTCCCTCCCCTCTCCCCACTGACTTATACTTGCCTAATGAGATGTAATTGCACTTTCATGTATTTAGTGAACTCGAGAGGCTATATTAGTGAGTCCTTAGGGAAGTTTATTGATAGTGTTCTCCTGAGACTGCTCCAGGCATGTTCAGATCAAGGAAGCTGATGTGGTTTAGATCTCAGGCTGCAGCCATCCTGTTGGCAGAGGTGTGGGTGAGCCAGCCCAACGTTAGCATGGGACAGCTGTTGCGTTACTCATCCGTTATGTGGTGGCCTGGGCAGGACAGAGATGCCCTCTCCTGCACCCATCCCTCTGCGTGCTGGCCCTGTCCCTCACCAGCTGCAGCACTGGGGAGAGTGGCCCCTACACCTCGCCTGGACAACACAGTAGAGCTGGCTGTGAAGGTGTAGATGTGAGAGAACCAACCCTGAGGACAGAACTGGCCCCACCCCTTGCTCACAGCTGCAAGTGGTGAGCTAGCCAGGGCAATGCAGGAGAGCTCACCCAGGTGTTGAGGACGGGGGAGAGCTGGCCAGCTGGCCAACCCCACATCTACCCAGACCCAGAACCAGGGTTATGTGTGATCTGAGACCTACTGGAGCACATGAAGGGACCGGTCCTGCAGACCCAAAGCTGCAGGATTTCCACAACACGGGGAAACGGAAGGAAAACCAAGAGGAGTCCCAGTGAGGGCCCAGCATCGATAGTGTAGCAGAAACCAGAGGCTTTGAACCAGACCAATGACTCTGCAATGAACTCTGCAAGTAACGACATAAGGGGGAAAAATCTCAGGCTGCAGAGTCAGCCAAAGGTCCAGGTTCATTTTGCTTCTAGTCTTAGTTACTAGCTCCCATACCTCTCATGCAGTGGCATTTCATTTGTATTTTAATAAATAAATAAAGCTTGACTGAAGATCAGAGAGTAAAACAGCCCTACTGGTCAGCCTTATAGACCAGGCAGTGAGTGGTAACACACACCTTTAATCCCAGTAGCCACACTAGTTGCCATAGAAACTGGGTGCATGCCTTTAATCCCAGACCTAGAGAGGGTTATAAAACGGAGGAGACAGCTCTCAGACACAGTCTCATTCTGAGATTCTGGGAGTCAGGATCACCATTTCAGACTGAGGTCGAGGTAAGAGTCAGTGGCTGGTTGTTTTGCTTTTTGTATCTTCAGGTTGAACCCCCAGTTTCTCTCTCTGAGTTTTTATTAATCGTGCTACACTCTTCCCCCAGTTGTCCCAAGAGAACCCAGAGTGGATAAGCTGCCGGGGATAGCGACATTTTGACAGTCTGGGATAGAACACTAAACCTTCCTAGCCTTGGAACCTGTCCAAGTTCTTCCTTGCCTGTCCTGGCCCCACGCTGTCTCTGGTTCCAGAAGGAACCTGCTGTCTTTTCAGCCGGGGATGAGTCTGTCGTCACATCAGAGCTATTGAACCCCTTGAGTATAATACATAAGCCTGGCCTGGGCCGCCCATATGCCTTCCTCCCTGCTCGTACTGGGACTCCCTGCTCCCTGACGGTCTCTGGTTTCTCCTGATTCAAGGGTCAGCCATCTCTGAGCTGTACCCTGGACTCTGCAGTTCTTCCAGCAAAGTGGCTGAACTAATGGTGACTCCTGCCAGTGTTCACAGTGTCTGCTGCGTACTCTGTCTGCCCACTAACAGAGTCAAACTAGGCTAAGACCTTCTGCCGCTGTCCCCTTGTGGGACACACCTAGCTGTCACCTTCATGAAAGCACCGCCCCTCCCCCACATACTCATAATGTGCTACGGTTTTTAAATATATATACACGACACACATCCCTCATACAAGGATTGGGCCAGTGAGCCCAGTGTCAAGAGGAAGTTGCTTGCGGACAGGCAGATGCGTTCTGATCACCAGAGGAAGCAGAATTTGAAAATCCCATCCCAGTGGATTCTGTCAACTCCACCCTAGCATGGGGAGGTGGGAAAGAGAACGGCCACCGTAGACACCTGCTCATTGTAATAAGCACTCACTCACACTTCTAAAACAGCCCACACTTCCTGGCTCCCAGGAGTACTTGAGGTCAGTCCACATCTCCACCAGGGATGATCTCAACCACCTGCTTTCTCCCGTGTCCTTCAGAATGCCTTTGTAGTCCCCACGCTAGCCTTCTGTCTGATGTTCAAAGACACCAACCATCCTGGCCTGACCTCCCAAGAACCCTGCTGCTCCGCATACTTCTTACCCAGGGCTGCATGTGATCCTGGTCTCTGAGTCTCACACTTGCTGCCCCTGGGCTGTTCACTCATTCCATCTTTGTGGCCACTGGCTTAAGACTTCTCTGAAGTTATTTTTTGCATTTGCCTCACAAATAGACCGTAAGTCCCCTCGTGTCCCTCTCTCCTAGAGTAAGGTCGCCCACACGGTGGGTACTCGAAAGCTCTTGAGTGAGTGAATGTATGGCCAAACACAGCTACAGGCAGTTGAGTCTGTGGGGGACTCAGAAAGTAGATGGCCAAACACAGTCAGCTACAGGCAGTTGAGTGGGTGGGTGGGTGGGGGGAACGACTTAGAAAGCTCCCATTTGTAAAAGAGCTAGAGAGATTCAGGCTTGTGTAGGTCTGAGTCTCAGCTAGAAATGACTCCTTGGGCTGCTGAATTCAGGATTCTTTCCTTCTGCAGCCCTGCGGCTCCAACTTAGGGATAAAAGGAATCTGTCCTCATTATCGTTTTACAGCTAATTTAACAATCTCTCCTTTATCCCAGGTTGGGACTGACGTGGGCAGTGTTAATGTTAGGACCCTGAACACTTGGAATACAAACGGCGCTCTAGATCCATTCTTGGCGTTGCATGGGCGCTAGAATCACGATTTACAGGAATCGCTTTTGCCATGAGAGCTGAAGGAACAGTGCTTGGGGCCAGAAGCGGGCAGAGGTCCCGTTTCCCCTGGTTAGAGCCTTGAGTGAAAAGCTCAGGAATTGGCTCCCCTCTACCAGCCACACCCCAGAATAGAACCTGCACAGAGAAAGGGCTGAAGTCCACCTGCTTCTCAGAGAGCCTTCAGAAAGAGGCAGTTCCCTCTTGACCAACCTTCAAAGTGGTCAAGCTTCCCTGAGACCCTGGTCTCGTGGCCCCCCCTTGTGGGCAGAGACATTACTGCAGCCTCTTCAGTTGTACCAGGTGTGAGCCGTGAAGCTGCAGGTGTGTGGCCCTACCCTAAGACCTGGGAAGCTCTGCAGGGTGCTCATAACTCGGTCTTTTCTCTCCAAGCTCTAAAGAACAGTTGTTTCTGTTGATAAGGAATCGTAAGTGAGTCTTATCTGGAGCTGAGTCTAGCTGGAGACTGGGACGGTGGAAGACACGCTCATCTCCCTCTGTCAGGCAGTGCAGTGTGCCTTGATGCTCCGTGCTTGTCACCATCATGCTGGTGGTCACAGTGAGAGTACTGTTGAATTACTATGTGGCCGTACGTGAAACGTAGTTAATGCAGCTTTGCTCACTTAGTGTGTGTGAACTTGGATAGCTTTCTGTCTCGCAGGACCACTATGAGGTTTATGAATTTATAAATAGATATAAAATATCATAGTCCCTGCTATACTGTAGGTATTCAATTAAAAAGTAGCTGTTTCAGCTTTAATTTTCTTTTTTTTTATTTTCAATTTTTCGATAGCTAACTCTGCTTCATGAGTGTACATCTGCCCTCCTGCTCCTCCCCTCCCCGCATCTGTTCTCCTGTTCTTCCCCTCCCTGTATCTGCCCTCCCACTCTTCTCTTCCCCTCCCCACATCTGCCCTCCCGCTCCTCCCCTCTCCACATCTGCTCTCCAGCTTCTCCCTCCCCTCCCCATATCTGCTCTCCAGCTCCTCTCCTCCTCACATCTGCCCTCTAGCTTCTCCCCTCTCCACATCTGCCCTCCCGTTCCTCCCCTCCCCGCATCTGCCCTCCTGCTCCTCCCCTCCCCACATCTGCTCTCCAGCTTCTCCCCTCCCCATATCTGCCCTCCAGCTCCTCCCCTCTTACTCCTCCCCTCCCCACCCCATATCTGCCCTCCTGCTCCTCCCCTCCCTGCATCTGCCCTCCTGCTCCTCCCCTCCCCACATCTGCCCTCCCGCTCCTCCCCTCTCCACATCTGCTCTCCAGCTCCTCCCCACCCCATATCTGCTCTCCAGCTCCTCCCCTCCCCATATCTGCCCTCCCGCTCCTCCCCTCCCCGCATCTGCCCTCCCGCATCTGCCCTCCAGCTCCTCCCCTTCCCACATCTGCCCTCCAGCTTCTCCCCTCCCCATATCTGCCCTCCAGCTCCTCCCCTCTTACTCCTCCCCTCCCCACCCCATATCTGCCCTCCTGCTCCTCCCCTCCCTGCATCTGCCCTCCTGCTCCTCCCCACATCTGCTCTCCCGCTCCTCCCCTCCCCACATCTGCTCTCCAGCTTCTCCCCACCCCATATCTGCTCTCCAGCTCCTCCCCACCCCATATCTGCTCTCCAGCTCCTCCCCTCCCCATATCTGCCCTCCCGCTCCTCCCCTCCCCTCCCCATATCTGCCCTCCCGCTCCTCCCCTCCCCACACTGCACACAATGCCTTTATCTGTCTGGCTCCTTTCTCTTACCTTCACTTTCAGTTTCTCCAAACTGAGTTTCTATTCCTTCTGATCTCTGCTGCTAACTGGTCTGTCGTCCCTGGATCACATTCGCTTGTTCTGAATAATTCTTGGCTTTTGTCCCCAGAGATCTCTGTTGTTTATAATGTACAACTTGTAATTCTCCCATAATGTAGGAGCCACTAGCCCTGTCGGCACCAAAAGGTGGGTTGGAGCAGTGAGAGCGTGAGTGGGCTGAACTAGAGAGGAGAGAGCAAGGCTTGTCTTAGAAGCTGCATTCCCAGGGCCTGTTGCAACCAGGTGACACCTTGCCAAGGGTTCAGAGATTAGGAACACAGAGGTACACGTTGTAGATGTGACAGTGTTGCTGGCTCGCAGAGCGTGTGTGCTGCACGGGACAGACAGCCGACTCACTGACTGCCTCGTTTGTATGCAGACCCACTCCGGATACTTCTCCAGTCTGTACCCTCACCACCATTTCGGCCCGTTCCCGCATCATCACTCTGTAAGTGCCCCTTGCATGTGCCCCAGCCACCCTTCCTGCTCCATGGCCTGGCCCCACGTAGCCCCTGATGAACAGGCCTGTGAATGGTCACAGTATTCTCTGCTGTGAATCTAGACTGTCTCAGGAGTGATGCAGCAAGCCACCCTGCTTCACACTCAGTGCAGAGCCTCTTCGGTAATCCTAAGTACTGCGAGAGCGAGGTGGGAGGATTGAGAGATTGAGGTCAGCCTGGGCTGTGTAGTAGTAACTTTCACGCCAGACTAAGCTACATACAGAGTAAAGTCCTAACTTAAAGAACAAGAGCCTAGCCGGGCGATGGTGGCGCACGCCTTTAATCCCAGCACTCGGGAGGCAGAGGTAGGCGGATCTCTGTGAGTTCGAGACCAGCCTGGTCTACAGAGCTAGTTCCAGGACAGGCTCCAAAGCCACAGAGAAACCCTGTTTCGAAAAACCAAAAAAAAAAAAAAAAAAAAAAAAAAAAAAAAAGAACAAGAGCCTAGAGCTATGGCTCAGTCATTGAGAGCGCACACTGCTCTAATGGGGCTGGAGTTCCCAGCACCCACTCCAGGTGGCTCACAGTCACTGGTAACTCCAGCTCCAGGGGATCCAGTGTCTCTAGCTTTTGTAGGCACCTGTGCTTACGTAGACATACACACACACACACACTTTTTTAAATTATATTAAAAACACAATAGAAAGAAAACCAGTCAGGAAATACTACTAAGCTAAAGAAAAGTTTGCAGTAGGCAGGGGATGTGGTTCCACTGACAAAGTACTTGCCATCTAAGCATGAGGACCCGAGTTCAAATCCTAAGCACCCACATAAAAGCCAGGTGTTGTGGGGTACACCTCTTGCTGAGGAAGTGGTGGCGGGATCCCTGGATCTCACTGGCCAGGTAGTCTAGCTAGATCAGCAAGCGTAGGTTCCATGGGTACTCTATCAAACTAAGGTAGAGAGTGACCGAGAAAGACACCAGTGTCAGCCTCTGGCCTCCAACATGTATGTATGCTCATGAACATGTGCATAGGCTTACACCACACCAGACTTTTTTTTTCTCATTTTGCTGGAATTCTTAAAAGTCTAATAATTGAAGACAACATCATTCCCATAAGAAGCATTGGCAGCCTAGCCCAGGAGGAGCCTCTGTCGTTCCTCGGGGTTTCCAGGGAAAGGTGGCTTGCCCACCTCCCTCATGGGGCCTGGGCACAGCAGGGTGAGTCTCCTTGTGAATTGGTAGTCCTAGTGATGGAACAGACTGGACAGCTGTCTCTGTCTGTGGCCAGGTGTGTTTAATAAATTTTTACTGTTTCATGTATATATGTAGGCTGTAATGGGCCACGGCACCATGTGGAAGTCAGGCCAGCTTATCTCCTTCCACGGCAGGTTTCAGGGATTGAACTTGGGTCATCAGGCTTGCATGATAAGCACTTTAAAAAAAAAAATTTATTTATTTATTATGTATACAATATTCTGTCTGCATGTATGCCTGAAGGCCAGAAGAGGGCACCAGACCTCATTACAGATGGTTGTGAACCACCATGTGGTTGCTGGGAATTGAACTCAGGACCTTTGGAAGAGCAGGCAATGCTCTTAACCTCTGAGCCATCTCTCCATCCCCATGATAAGCACTTTTTAATCCACCACACTGTCACAAAATAACCATTTTGGTTCTTGGATGAAGGCACAGGAAACGTGTGCATTAAATCTGTGTATGTCAGAGAACCCAGGAAAGGGCGGATGCTTGTGCCCAGCAAACACGGTTGCTCAAGAGGTGCTTGTAGGCTCATGCTGTCCCGCTTGGGTTCATATACAGAGTACCAGGCCACACAAAGATCAAACATGCCGGGTTGGCCGCTTCTGGCCATCTCCCCGGGTAGTGAGGCCTTCCCGTTCTGGTACTCTCAGGGTTACTTGGCTGGGCCATGAGGTGCCAGGTTAGAGGGACAGTTGTACACGTGTTCTTTTCTAGTACCCAGAGCAGGAGACTGTGAATCTCTTCATCCCAACCCAGGCTGTGGGTGCTATCATCGGGAAAAAGGGGGCGCACATCAAACAGCTGGCTCGATTTGCTGGAGCCTCCATCAAGGTAAGATTCTTGCCGTCAGCTGCCTGTCCCCATGGTCCTCCTCTTGTCCGTGCCAGACAATTCTTACAACCTCCCTCCCCTGCCCAGAGACAGAATCTGCTCCCATTCTTCATCCTAGTCCTTTCCTTTCCACCAAACCGCGTCCTCCGGGGATTAGCACTGTCTGCTCTTCCCAAGAAGATAAAAGAAGGCTGAAGATTTATCCCAAGCTAGGGGTGTGTGCTCGAGTGGAATGAGCCTTTGTGCTTAGCACTCAGCACATCGAGCTGCTGTTCTGTTAGTCCATGCTTCAAGGATGTACAGACTATGAGAAGAGAAATGGGAGGAAGAGCTTTCTGGAAAGTGCTGATAAAATCATAGACAGATGGGGCTGATAGCATCACCCGTTAAGAGACCAGGACTGAGCAGAAGGGTAGGGAAGTCCTCTCGGTTTGTAAAATTGTGTGCAGAAGTGGCTGCAGTTAGTCCCGGATTCTGCCTCCCTTGTTGTCAGGGATGGTTTGCCGCGGGCCTGCCTCAAGCCCAGCTGTCAGCTCCGCTGAGACGCTGCAAACCCCATGGAATACTTGCCATTGCTATGGAAAATAATTCACTACTTATAAGACAACCCAGAATTACGAAAACAAGTTTCATGACTTAGAGAGAAAGAATACTTACACTTTCTCCCTGAGAGCTGGAATTTCTCCCACAGAAAGTATGACAGGGAAAACAAACAACAACAACAAAAACTTTCTGAATTGTGCAGAATGAGAACTGCGGTGCCACCGGGGAAGACTCAGACTGCGTCTGTCTCTGCAGTTAGAGACTCACATTCGAACTGGGTGAAGCCTAGACCAGGGTGGCTGCCATGTGGGCGTGGGGTCCGCTCTGCCCAGTGGTTTGACACAGGCTGCATCCTGGCCTAGCTGATGGAGAAAGCGAGGATGAGAACAGGCTGGCTGCACCCAGAAGATCTTTGCTGGTGCTCAGTGCTGTGGTCAGGCATGCTGAAGGACCACAGACAGTTTGGATTAAAGAGCTTTGTGGGGCCCTTTCACCCCTGCCCCACTTTATTGGGGAACGTGAGCCATGGAGAGAATAGGGACTAAATGAAGCCTAAGCCAGCCCAGCTCTTGGATAGATTAAATCCCATTGACTTCTAGGGTCCTGAGCATCTCCTATGGCTGACCACAGCAGTAATTTCCCACTAATGCTTGTGAGAAATGGAGCCCAGGAAGTCTGACTGTCCACCCAAGGCCACAGAACTAGAGTGTGATATGTCCTGTTTCTGCTCCATGACTGCCTTCTCCCATAGCAACCCTACTGATCATTCCCAGTTAGCGCCTTCAGGGAAATGCAGGGGGGCAGGAGGAGTTCAGGCACAGAGGTGACTAGTCCATTAGACATCACTCCACAGCATTCTCAGTTAAGGACTTAGTGCCGGCATTGGATCTTGAAGTTGACAGGGCTTCCTGCCACCTGCCGCAGGGCCAGCCCATCCCAGCCTCCATCCCCTGGACAGACTGTGACTGTCACCCAGAAATAACTTCCTGCCATGGTCCTTGAGCTTCCCTATTCATTCTTTACCTGTGGCTCCCATCTGTCCTCATGCCACAGAGTAAGTAGTCAAGGCCAGGGGAGTCTTCAGAGGCCTTGATGAAGGGGTCCCTCTTTCTAGATCAGTGCAGGTGCCAACATGCTGTGGATGAGTGTTCTCAAGAAATCTGGGACTCAGCACTGGACCCTGAGGTCCTGGGGGAGACCCTTGTTTAGAGCCTAGATGGGTGAAAACAGAATCATTCCTCTGAGCTTTGGAGACAGTATGCTTACACAGCAGTGGAAAGGAACCTCCCTGACCCTGGGTTCCTTCTGCCTGAGCGGCCCTGTAACAGACTATGTTCCTCCTCTTTTGTTTACTTGCTTGCTTGCTTGCTTGGGAGTCATGGTCTCATAGCCTCGGCTACTTGCAAGCTTCCCTGTGGAGCCTACAATGGCTTTGAGGTCCTGATTCTCCTGCTTCCATCTTGGGAGTGTGGTTTGCAGCTGTTCTCGCTGTGCTCGGCTGTGCAATGCTCCGAGGAGCTGAGAGTTGAGAACTGTGTCGGGCCTCGCACGGTGTGTGGTGTGCTCGCCTGTAGCTCCTGGCTCACCCTTAGGTTCCTGCTGCACTTTCCTTTCTTTTTACTTTGAATTACTTTTAATTTTGCAGCGATCTGATGATTGAGTTTTAGCTTACTTGTTTTTGAGACGAGAGTCTTGTGTCTGTGTTGTCCAGCTAACCTTCAGCATCTAGTCTCAAATGATCCTGTCATCTTGGCCTCCTCCGTAGCTGGAACTACTGACATGAACTGCCAGGTCCAGCTCGGTTTTGTTGTCTCCTCCTCCTCCTTCCTCTTCTCCTTTAAAGATTTTTTTTTTTTAAGTAAGTCAGAATGTGCTGGGAGGGAAATGTAATGAATGTATAAATGTCTTAGCCAGTGTTCTACCGATGTTCCACTCCCTGCCCCCATAGACTTGTGGCCATATCATAATGCAAAAAATGCATTCAGTCCAACTTCAAAAGTCCCCATCGTCTATCACAGCGTCAACACTTATAACACTCCAAAGACTCACAGCAGTCTCTTAACTGTAATCCCCTATAAAACCAAAATCAAAGCCGGGCGGTGGTGGCGCACGCCTTTAATCCCAGCACTCGGGAGGCAGAGGCAGGCGGATCTCTGTGAGTTCGAGACCAGCCTGGTCTACAAGAGCTAGTTCCAGGACAGGCTCCAAAACCACAGAGAAACCCTGTCTCGAAAAACCAAAAAAAAAACCAAAATCAAAAGCAGATCACATACTTCACACCACAGTGATGTAACAAAGGGAGCAAAGGGAGGAAAAGAGGCATAGTGAGGAAATACCAGACCAAAGCAAACTGGGCAAACTCCGAACTCTGCATCTCCACGTCTGATGTCAGCTTGTCTCTCTTGGACTGGTTCTACACCTGTTAGTAGCTCTCCTCTGGCGTCCCCAACATCTTGAGGACTCCAAGGTGATCCAGGCTTCGCCTGCACAGCTTCATGCAATGGCCTGTCTGGGCCCTGGCACATCCCTGGTCTCTGTAACTTAGTCACAGAGGGAAATTTCCCAACACCTGTCTTGTATCCTTGATTCTAAAGCCGGAATCACATGACTGAAGCTGCCGCTCCTTAAGCATTCAAATATATGAACCTATGGCAGGCCGTTCTTAGACCACCACAGACCTCCAGCCAAATTATTGGTGAGGTCCTTGTTTGTAATCTCACGGGATTAAAAGCTAGCTGGCTCAGCCCTCCCGTGCGCCACTGATGAGTGGGGGCGTGCATAGAAGAAGGGTTTGCAGAGCCATGACCAGAACCAGGGAAACGTTACTCAATGACAGCCATACCTGCTCTGCCTCCTCGTCACTTACGGCTGGTTCCTCTGCGAACTGAGCGTTAGAGCCAGGCTAACCTTTCCTGCAGCTCTACTGGTCAGACGGCGTGGACTAACCCTCCTTCCCTCTGGACCCGGGGGTTGGCAGAATCCCTTATCTCACAGGACTTGACGGGTAAGAGGCAAGTTGCTGAAGGGGGCTCACTGCAGGGACAGACAGTAGCTTTGAGTTGTCCTGCCCTGCCCTGCCCTGCCCTGGGTAGCCAAAGATTCATATTTGATACCGAGGATTAAGGTCATGACTTCCTGAGACTCAGGGCAGAGCGGCACTGTGTCAGAGTGTGGAGCTTGAAGGCGGAAGCCTTGTCATCAGCTGGTGTGAGCATGCTCTCAGACAAGCAGAGGGGCTCGGCCTCAGCGTGTTCCTTTTCTCGAACTGCAGATAGCTCCGGCAGAAGGTCCGGATGTCAGTGAAAGGATGGTCATCATCACCGGGCCACCTGAAGCCCAGTTCAAGGTCAGTGCCAAAGACCATGCTGGTGTTGAGGTTCGCCTGTGGCGGCCTCATGTCCATCTTCCCTCCGGGTCCTCATTGCTCCTCTGTGCTCTGCCTTCTGTCTACGGAGAGGTGGGTCGTCTGTAGGTGCTCAGTCGGGTGGTAGTACCTCCAGCATGTCTCTGATTGGGTGGCTTGGGTCCCCCTCAGCTGTGGGTGTTAACATGGATGTCGAGGAGAAGCTTTTTGTAGTGGGTACTCTGGCAGCCTGTAAGAGAATTCTGGTAGCACTGGAGAGTTCCTCTATAGGAAGCTTTGCTTTGAATTTCAAGAAGTTGGAAACGTGTATTGATTTATAAGAGTTAAGCCCTTAATAATTGAAGTCATAAGGAATCAGAAGTCTTCAGCTAGAAAATGAACGGACAAACGTGGTATACCCACACAAGGGAATATTATTTTGACACAAAAAAGAATGATTTACCCAATGCATGCTACCAAGGGATGAACCCGGAGAAACAAGAGCTTGTAGGCCATGGTTCCGCATATGCAAGAAGGGGGGTGGCAGCTAGCTGCTGATTGGCCAGTCCTGGGAATTGAGCCCAGGGCTCACACGTAAGGGGCAGCAAACTCTCAGCCGCTGAGCCACATTCCTAACCCTCTTCCAATTCTTTAAAAATTTTGATACAGGGTCTCCCTAAATTGCTCAGGTTGGCCCTAACCTGCAGTTCTTTTCTTCAGCCTCCTGAGAAACTGGGTATTACAGGCTTGTGCCAGCGCTGGGTAATGGGGGAGGATCCTGAATATTTTGGATGGTGGTGATGGGCCCACACATATTGACTACCAAGTACAATACTGAAGTAATGACTTCACTACCAGGTGCACGATCGTGAGTTCGATTCCCAGCACCACAAAAACAAACAAAACCAGCAGTATGTTTAGACTCAGCAAATGCTGTCACCATCTGCTTACCTCCTTCAATGACCAGAGAAGTGAGCAGACAGTGGAGGGGAGTTAAGAATGCCTTGAACAAATTCAGCCAACCAAATGCTACAGGTGCTGGGGATATGGAAATAAGGATGCAGTCTTAGTGGCTCGCCAGTTGCTCCCAGCCAAGAAACGCATTCCCTAGAGGGAGCAATCGCATGCAAACCTAGAGGCTTGGCAGCGTGTCCAGATTCCGGTAGAGTGAGGTTGTTCAGTGCACGAGCGTCCCAGCTCTGTAAGGACTGAGTGGCTGTGCAGCTGCCAGGGTGCCCGTCACTGAGACTCCTGGTTCCTGCACAGCCCCCACAAAGCAGTGTGGCCGGCTGCTAGCCCTTACCAGTCATCTTGTTCTCAGGCTCAGGGACGGATCTTTGGGAAGCTGAAAGAAGAAAATTTCTTTAATCCCAAAGAAGAGGTGAAGCTGGAAGCCCACATCCGAGTTCCTTCGTCGACAGCTGGCCGGGTGATCGGCAAAGGGGGGAAAACCGTAAGTCAGCTCCCCACTCGAGTCCCTTCGCCTGGATGAGTTCCCTGTCCGGGCCAGGCCTGACGACCCTCAGATCCTCACGAGCTCTTTTGCTCGTTCTCAACATGTATGAGGGCCTTGTGATGACACACTTGGGTTCTGACAGGAGCAGGATGAGTGAGGCATGGGGATTCCGAGGGCAGAGATGTCACCAGCAAGGCCTAATCCCATGGTGTCACACTTACTCTATTCCTGAGTGCTGTGCCACCTAGCCCTGTTTTTTTCTGAAAGACAAGAAGGCCATCTTTTGCTCCCTCCCCACATACACATGTAGCATACATACATACATACATCCGCATGTAGCAGATAGGACCCATTTGAGACCACTCTCTACCTGGTTTCCAAGTTCCGAGACTGTAACTCTGCCCTGTGCTCTCCTGAGAGCCATCTCCAGGGGCCCTCTCGCTCTCCCATTTTCTCATTCTTTCTCAAGTCTGGCTGTCTACTCTAGGGAAGTTGGCTCAGCAATAGGATGAGAAATTTTTACTTATTTATTTATTTGTTTATTTATTTATTTATTTATTTTTGCTTTTTGAGATAGGGTTTCTCTTTGTAGCTTGGGAGCCTGCCCAGGAACTTGCTCTTTAGACCAGGCTGGCCTTGAACTCACAGAGATCACCTGCCTCTGCCTCCCTGTTGGGATTAAAGGCATGCACCGCCACCACCCAGCTTCTGATCTTCAGGCAAGCTTTATTTATTAAAACACAAATAAAATATCACTATAGAGAGAAGATTCAGCCTCCCTGCCTCCCCTTCCCCCGCATCCCTAGAGTGTCTCCCTCCACAGCTCACGTATTGGCTTTACTGGGATGTGGGGTGCGCTTGGCCTCTCTCAGTTTTCTGCCTTTCCAGGTAAACGAGCTGCAGAACTTGACCAGTGCAGAAGTTATTGTGCCTCGTGACCAAACGCCAGATGAAAATGCGGAAGTGATCGTCAGAATTATCGGGCATTTTTTTGCTAGCCAGGTACTATTCTGTAAGGGCCTGCCTCCTGCCCACTCTCTGCTAGTTCACATACTATATCTGTGTCAAGTGGCCATATACCTGGGCCCCTCCTGAGCCCCTGACCTCAGGGACTGGAAACTGTTGGTGCAAGGCTCCTGGCATGCTAGGGTTGGGAATTTAGCATCCCTTTGCCCTCCCAGCCTTCCTCCGAGGAGCCACATGTCCAGCAGGTCCCCAGCAGGGCAACCAGGTGGCCAGGTTTCACTGCGGAAGGTTAACTGCTCACAGTGGGGCCCTAGTGTTCTGTTGCTCTCTTTCCCACCTACTTAGAAGACCCCATCACTGTTGCCCTGCACTCAGAGAAGCCAGCCCTGCAGTGACATGTGACCTGGTTGTCTCGATGCCTTTTGCTGGGTGGGTTTTAGAGAGAGGGCAACTGTGATCCTCATGTAAGCGAGGGAGAAGGGCAGTCTGCGGTCTCCTGCTTGATCTGACTCTCAGTTGCTCTCCTGTGGCCTTGGGAGCTGTGGGTCAGGGTCGGAACTCCAGCTCTTCCGGGCTTTGGCAGGGCTCTAGTCTCTCTGCTGATCTTTCTAGTGCTCTGGGAAAGGAAGGGGCACAGGAGAGCTCAGGTGTGAGGAGAGGGCCTTCAGCCCACACCCCTCCCCCCATCAATGGTCACCCTACCCTACAGCTGCTCTCTAGCCAGACTGCTCACTGAATTAGAAGCTGCTAGTTCCTCCCCCTCCCACCCCGTTGCACCCTCCTTCCTCTTCCCCCATCCCATCTTGCACCCAGTAAGTAGCCTTGGTGAGGTGAAGAGGAATACTTCCCCTGGCTGTTGGGTGTGGTGCTGGGGGACCTGGGGGATGTGAGATTGGTCTGAGGACCCCTCTCTCCTTTCCCAAGTCCCAGCTGGTTTCCTGTGGGCCCCAGAACTAGGATTGTCTCTTCCCTGTGTCCTCCCCTCCCTCTCTCTGCTGCAGACTGCTCAACGCAAGATCAGGGAAATTGTCCAGCAGGTGAAGCAGCAGGAGCAGAAATACCCTCAGGGAGTCGCCTCACAGCGCAGCAAGTGAGGCTCCCCAGGCGCCAGCAAACAACCGATGAATGTAACCCTCCCAACACCTGACAGACGAGACCAAACAGCCAGCAGATCGGGAGCAAACCAAAGACCATCCTGAGGAGTGAGAAGTCTGTAGAGCAGCCAGGGCCTGCAGACCCCCACACATCCTGGGATCCAGGAGGCCGAGGGAGGGCCGGGTTCCCCAGGAACACCACTTGACCTGCGCCCAGCTTCCCCTGGCTTCTGCAGGCTTACCATCATCCACTGCCCATCCACTCAGCTCCCTCCTCAGCTCCCAGGACGCCGTCCCTTCCAGTTGAACTAACATAGGTGAACATGCTCAAAGCGAGGCAAACCTCCGTAGCCTTTTCTTCGTTGTGGAAAGTGTCTCTGTACATGGCTGTACATACTAGAAGGGGAAGATGTTAAGATAATGTGGCCTGTGGGTTACACAGGGCGCCTGCAGCATTAATATATTTTAGAAATAATATATCAAGTAACCCAACTCACTCCAATTTTTACTCAGTTATTAATTTTGTTTTCTGTTGAAGAGAAAGCAGGCTTTTCTACACTTCAAAGAATAAAGTCTTGGTGAGGACCATAGGTAGTGAAAGAAACTTTGAGCCACCCACACAAAATTCACTTGGAGGGAAATCTCGTCAAGGACACTTAATGGCAGTTGTGGGTCACCTGTGCCTATCAACAGAAGGGATACCGTCCCTGAGGAGGGGCTCAGCCCTTGTCACCTGTTTATCCCATACACCCATTTCTCTGCAGCACGGGTTTTAAACTGTTTTTTTTTTTTGCATACTGCTATATATTTCTGTCTCTCTGTTTATCTCCCTCCCATACCTTCCTCTCTCTTCTTTACCTGCCATTCTTTGAATTCCTTCATCTTTTTCTGTCCCTACCCCATATCTATGCACGCCCTCCCACCCCCCCAGGCAAAGCAGTGCACTGAGTATCACGTCACATAAAAGGAACCATTGCGAAACACAGGAACCAGCTTCAGCTTGCCCCTGGTTACTCAAGCGAACAAGAGTCGATGGCACTTGTCCGAGCCTCTAGAAGAGGAAAACGGGAACCCTCCAAACCAGCCAGCCAACCAAACAAAGGAATGTTCCAGAAAGAAAGAATGTACTTTGTCTTTCTACATTGTGGTATATAAGCCATCAACATTTAGTGAAATTATTTCTTCCTTTAAAAATTGAAAATGCAGGAAAATAGCAATTTATACAAGGTTGTTGGCCCAGGGCGTTAAATTCACAGATTTTTTTTTAAAAAATGAGAAAAACACACAAATAAAGCTACCTCAGGTGTTTTTTTTACCTCAGCACCTCGCTCTTGTGTTTCCCTTAGAGATTTTGTAAAACTGATAGTTGGAGCATTTTTTATTTTTGTAATAAAAATGAGTTGGAAAAGAAAAAGCTTTCAACTGCCAGCCTGGAGCAGGCGGCAGCCCAAGTGTGTGGCTACCGGGCTGGCTCGTCTTCCGCTGGCCAAAAGCCTGCGTGGCCTTCTTGTGGACACATCTAAAAATGTTTATTTTTTAAAAATGACAAAAACAGAGAGAGAATATTGGAGCCGTCCTGAATTTCAATAGGGTGCGTGCCATGAGGGCTTTTGCGCTGAAGGATGACCACGGCCTGGTTATGTGAAGAAGCCAAGAAAGACACCACCAGACTGCAATGCCGGTTTCCTCTACTGCAAACAGTGTTCTTTGACAAAAAAAAAGAAAAAAAAGAAAAAGAAAAATATATCCAAGCTAACAAGAGTCTGGCGTCCTGGTGTCTTATTTATTGAGCAATTGGACAGTCGGGACCTGGGCAGCTCTTCGTCCACACGGTTGGGGGCAGGGAACTGGATAAGTCAGTGGGTCACCGGGGGCTTGTGGGAAACACACCACGGCTGGGTCCACATGGGGTGACAGCTTGTGGGAGGCGGGGCGTGTGTTTCATTCAGCCTGTGGATGCAGATCTATAGGCCTAGAGGGCAGCCTGATTGGCCTGCTGAGCTGAATCCTCAGCCAGCTCAAGGGCAGAGGCTCTCAGCCTTCCTCAATGTTGTGACCCCGACCATAGAATTATCTCGGTGCTGCTTCATAACTATAATAAGTTTGCTAGTTATGAGTCATAATGTAAACTGCTTTCCAATGATCTACCATGACCCCTGCGAAAGGCTTAAAAAAATAAACCAGGGGTCGCGACCCATAGGTTGAGAACTGCTGAATTAACCATCTTCTAATTGAAAGCTTAAAAATGCATAAAACATGGGCACAGTGGTGCACACCTTTAACCCCAGCACTCAGAGGCAGAGTTTGAGGCCAGCTTGGTCTAGAAAGTGAGTTCCAGAACTGCCAGGGTTGTTACACAGCGAAATCCTGTCTTAAAAAAACAAAAGTAAAACAGAATTCACCATTGTCGAGTTCTAGGCTGAGCAAGGCTGAAATAGGAGTGTAGCTCAGCAGTAGACACTAGCGACACACAGCAAATCGCAACAGCATGAAGGGATGAACCTCCAGGGCCAGGCTGTCTGCCTGATGGCCACCACCTCTCGGAGGAACTCGCCACTTCCCCCAGTGGCATAGCCAGCAGGAACACAGATTAGAAGCAAAGTGGGGTTTGGTCTGCTTGCTTTTCTGTCTTTTTTTTACGGTCCGGTCCTGTGCGTCATCCTGGCTGACATGGTACTTGATGTGCAGTGTGCTGCCTGGAGACTCACAGCAGTCCTGGCCCAGCCTCCCGAGTGCTGGGACTGTTGGTGTTCACTGCTATGCCAGGTAGGAAGGTGTTAAAGGATAACACTGGGCACCAAGAAGCTACTGACTCAAATGTTGGACTGCCTAAGGCAAATCAGTGCTACAGAGAATATTGGCTTACCCAAGCCACCATGATGGTGGCCTTTAGCGTGCGTAACACACACACACACATAGATACATACATACATACACAGACAAATACACACACACAGATACATACACACACACATAGATACATACATATATACACATACACGCACACATACACGTCAGAAACCAGTACCACACTATAACCATTTAAAAATAGACTTAGGGGCTAGAGAGATGGCTCAGCTGTTACAATGGCTTGGGTATTGGCTATTCTTCCAAAGGACCTGGGTTCTATTCCTAGCACCCACATGGCAGCTCACAACTGTCCGTAACTCTGGTTCCAAGGAATCTGGCATCCTCAGACATCAGACAAAACCCCAATGTACAGAAAAAGTCTTTTAAAAAACACAGATTTAGCTTGTCCCCATTAATGGCACCAGGAGACTCACATGTTCAAGACCTGCTTGGATCATCCTATGAGACTGTCTCAAAATGAAAAGTAAAATCAAGTGATCACCTATACCTATGGATCCCAGAATTAACTGTTCTGAAAAATAAGGCTAAATATATTTTTCAAAATATATATGTGTATATATATATATGTATACACACATATAAATATATTCCATTTTTTTTCTGATAAAATTGACTATAATTGCCCCAAAGCGTTGTAAAACAAAAATTCTGAAGTCAATCCAGTTTCAGGTGTGTCTTCTACTCAGTTTGAGGATGAATTTTTTTTAAGTTTAATTACTTATTATGTATCTGTTGGCATCAGATCTGATTATAGATGGCTGTGAGCCACCATGTGGTTACTGGGAATTGAACTCAGGACCTCTGGAAGAGCAGTCAGTGCTCTTGACCTCTGAGCCAGCCCTCGAGGATGAATCAAGGATCAAGGTTTTTGTAAATTATTGCTTGTTCTTTGATAGTCTACTGCATACTGATTACTCCCCCTCAATCTCCTCTTAGCTCCCTCCCACCCTTGTCTACCCCACATCTTCCCTATAGAACTATTTCTCACCTCGAGAATCTGCTAGCTTTGTTCTGTGTGACCGCGGCTTTCCATGGCTTCCTGTGTAGCCTGGTGGGCTCAGCTGTGAATATACAACTGCAGACAATGGTTTCCCCTCCCCAAGAATCTGTCAACAACTGATAGACAGTTCAGCAGGAAGGGGTAGAACCCGATGAGCCCACCCCTATCCATGACTGCTAACAGTCTTGGTCTTACATATGCCCAGTGCATGGAACCACTGCACTGTGTTCCTGGTTGCGAGGGTTAGGTTGTACTAGCGCAAAAAGTTGAGATGAGAAAGGTTCATTAAAATACATATGTATTTTTATACACAGAATTTCTTGTATTGTGGGTTTTGTAAATAATAGTATGATTCCTTGTAGCATTTTCATATGTCCTTTTTTTGTTTTTGAAGACAGGGTTTCTCTGTGTAGCTCTTATTGCCCTGGAACTCACTCTGTAGACTAGGCTGGCCTTGAACTCACAGAGATCCACCTGCCTCTGCCTCTGCACTGGGGTTAAAGGTGTGCACCACCACTGACACTATCGGTCTAGATGTCACTGTTATTGTTTTAGCCACCTCCTTCCTTCTGTATTTACCTTCCTCTCAGTCCCTAAAGAGCCCTGCTTTCCCATTTCCCCCATCAAATCACTTGTATCCTTCTATTCCCCATACTCTCCTCCCACTTTCTGTATTTACTCTGCTCCCCGACACTAAGGATCCCCCTCCCGTTTCCCTGGTACCTGGCTAAATTCCTCCCTCTTGTTCCCCGACCTCCCTATCTTGGCAATGGTTCTGCTTTACTTTCCTTGTTTCTGTAGTTCCTATATGCTATGTATTGGCATCTGAAGGTTTGGAGCTAGGAGCCTCCAATGAGAGAGACCACACGGTGCTTGTCATTCTGGAGCTGGGATGCCTCTCTCAATACGGTCTTTTCTACTTCCATCCGTTTACCTGCAAAGTTATTTCATTTTTCTTTACAACTGATTAGTATCCCTAGTGTGTATGTGGCACATTTTCATTATCCATTTCTCTATTGTAGGACTTGTTTCCAAACAACAAAAAGCAGAAGCTTTTTAGTGTCATGAATTCTTGGGCAAATGGAGTCCCATTCAGGAAGTCCTTTCCCGTACCTATGGCATGGAGGGTATTTCTGATATCAAGTTAAGGTCTTTGATCTATTTGGAGCTAGTTTTTGTGCACTGCATGTTGGCATCCAGTTTTCCCAGCACCATTTGTTGAAGATGCTTCCTTGTTTCCTGGGTTGTTTGTTTGTTTTTGAGTCTTTGTCGGATATTAAACGGCTGAAGTTATGTGTGCTCATGTTTGGGTCTTCAGTTTGGTTACATGCCTGTTTTTGTGCCAATACCATATTGTTTTTATTACTATGTCTCTGTAATATATCTTATGATGTGGAATTGTAATCTCTCCAGCATTGTTCTTTTGGCTATCCAAGGTCTTTCATGGTTCCATATGAATTTTAGGACACCCTTTCTGTTCCTGTGAAGAGTGAGATGCAGATTTTGATTGGGATTGCATGAACCTATAAATAGCTTTTGGTAGAATGGTCATTTTCACAATGTTAATTCTACAATCCATGGACATAGGGTGTCTTTCCATTTTCTAGTTGTCTCCATCTCTTTTTTCAGAGGATTTATGTTTTCATGTAGAGGTCCTTCGCTTCCTTGGTTGTTAGGTTTACCCCTAGATACCATATTTTCTTTGAGGCTGTTGTGAAGGTGTGTTCATAGCCACCTTCTGTGTATGTGTGTTCTTGGTATAGGAAATACCAACAGAAAAGTTAGTGATTCATGCAAATTGATTCTGTATCAACAAGGTTGCATTTGCTTATTGTCTCCAGAAGTTTTCTGGTAGGAGTTTGGGGATCTGTCATGTATAGTACGTCATCTGCAAATAGGGATAGTTTGACTTCTTCTTTCCCTATTTGTAGTCCTTTGATTTCCTTCTCTTGCCTTATTGCTGCAGCTAGTGCTTCAAGCACCATGCTGAGCAGGAGTGGGGTAGTGGGAATTCCTGCCTCGTTCCTGACTTCAGTGGGATTGCTTCAAGCTTTTCTCCATTTAGGATGATGTTGGCTGTGAGTTACTTGTATTTTATTCCCTCCAGCCTTATATTAGCTAGTACTTTTGTCATAAATGTTGGATTCTGTCAAAGTATTTTTTTTCTGCTTCTATTGAGATGATCACATGCTTTTTGTCTTTAAGTCCATTTATGTGGTTTATTCATCAACTTATATGTGTTGAACCATCCCTGCTTTTCAAGGGTAATTTCAACTTGGTGGATAATCTTTTTGACTGTGTCTGTATTCTTTATATTTATTGGGTATTTTTGAATCTACGTTCATCAGGGATATTGGCCTTTTTTTATGTTTCGCCTTTTCCTGGTTTAGGTATCAGATAAGATACTTCATAAGAGTTTGCAGCACTCTTTTTTGAATGTCTAGAATTCTGCTTTGAATATCTGGTTATAAGACTTTTTTTTTTTTTGGAGACAGGGTTTCTCTGTATATAACAAACAGTCTTGGCTGTTCTGGAGCTCACTTTGTAGACCAGGCTGGCCTCAAACTCACCTCTCTTGCCTCCCAAGAGCTGGGATTAGAGACAGGAATCACCACTGCCAGCATTAAAGTTTTTTTTTTTTTTTTTTTTTTTTTTTTTTTTTTTTTTGGTTTTTCGAGACAGGGTTTCTCTGTGGTTTTGGAGCCTGTCCTGGAACTAGCTCTCATAGACCAGGCTGTTCTCGAACTCACAGAGATCCGCCTGCCTCTGCCTCCCAAGTGCTGGGATTAAAGGCGTGCGCCACCACCGCCCGGCTTAAAGTTTTGGTTTTGTTTGATTTGGTTTGTTTTTTCAAAATAGGGTTTCTCTGTG